TCTTTCTTTCTTTCTTTCTTTCTTTCTTTCTTTCTTCTCCCTTCTTTTTTCCACTTGTTAATTATGCCATAAGTAGTTAGTATTCTACAGAACACACTTTGGTGAAATTCTTTGTGTCACTTTTGTTTTATTAACTCTCAGTTTCCATAGAGAATCTCAGGGCGGGTAGGGTAACTTGCCTAATATTAAGTAAGTGATGGATACAAGATTCTATTTCTTGACCTGGGTGGAGTTTACATGTGTGTTCGCTTTGGGGTAATTATTAGCAGAGGGGAGGGCATTAAAACAATTCTGCAGGATGACACTCATGCCGTGTATAGGGAATAAAAAATCACTGTAATTACAGAAACGTCAGCTCTTGCTAGTTCTTTTCTCTCCCTAGTCCTCCGGCTCTCCATTTTCTAGGAGGGGAGTCCAAGAGAAACCAAAGACGAGAAAGAAATTCCGACTCAAAGTCAAACTTATCCGGAGACTCAAATGTCCGTTTCTAGGGTTAAAAGGTTTTCTCCAATTGGTCCAAGGTGGTTACAAAAGCAACCAATTCTCTTCGCTGCCCAGGGTAAGAGGGGAAGGAAAAAACAAAGTTAAAAAAAAGTTACTCCCCAGCCTCGCTGTTTGCCACTCCAGAATCCCATTGTCTACGTAGGGCTCTACCCAACATAGGAGGCGGGGCCAAGGCCATGCTTTGACACCTTAGCGATGCAGCAAGCCTTTGTTGAGTCCTAGCAACACACCAGGCCCTCCCTGCGGCTGGCCTACCTTCCCTCAGTCCCGTTTTCTTGCTCTTGGCTCTGTGCACGCTCTCACTTCGTGGCCCTGAGAGCTTGGATTTTTGCATACTGGTGCAACCCAGCTCTTGGGGTTCCTGGGGTGGGAGCCACTCAGAGAGAGCCAGCACGGGGTGGGAAGGTGTTATGCCCAGAATTCGTGATTCCCAAATACCTCCAGGGAGCCGAGTCTGATGTAAAAGCAAAAGAGACTTTATTCGAGCTAGCTCGAGCTCAATCCCCTACCTGCACCGACGCAGCGGTGAGATACCAGGGAGAGAGAGTGTTTCCAAAGCCCAAAGGTTTAATTGGGGCCTAGGGGCAGTTGGTGAGGTAATGGCTATGGCCTCAGCCGATTGGCT